CAGGCGGGCAGCGCCGAGGGCGGGGAGGGCAAGCGGGGCAGGGGGCGACCGCCATGGGGGGGGGCTCGCGGTCCAGGCGCTCTCCTGCCCCTCTTCGCCCATTTCAGTAGCATTCGCCAGAATCCGTTGGCCGCGCCCGAGGTGCCCAGGGTCCGAGGATGATGTCCTGTGGGCTCCTCCTTCCAGGACATCGCTCGCTAATCGCTCGTCTGCGGATCGGAGGGACTCCTCTTTTCCACCGCCGTTTCCCAAAGCGCCCGGTGGCAGCGTGGCCAGTCCGGGAGGCCGGCAGGGATTCCCGAGAGCCGGAGCTGGGATTCCTCAGCCGGGGAAGGTCACGGACGGGGCGGGCGGCCTCTGCCGGCCAGGCGCGAAGCCGCCCCCGCTTGACCCACGATTAAACTCCGGGCCAAATTCTCCCAGCCTGGAGCTCGCCCTTCGGGAAGGGAGCAGCCCGCCTGGCCAGCGCTCCCGCTTGAGGGTTTAGCAAAGGGGGGGGGGCGTTGAAACCTCTGGTCCTGGGGAGCCATCCCGTGGGGAGGACGGGGGCGCTTGCCTTCCGGGAACCCCAGGGCGGCGGCGGCGGAGGAGGAGGAGGAGCCGTGCAAGACCGGCGTCCTCAGAGCCCCTGGCTTTGAAGCTGAAAAGTTGGCCCGGCTTCGGGAAGAGTCTCTCCGAGGGGACCCGGGTCGGGGAAGCCTCTTTCCCCAGGCTTGTGGCCAAACCTGCACGGCAGCCCGCCGATCCTGAATGCCGGGGGGGGGGGCGCGGCGGTTTCCAGTCCCGACACGAGGGGTGCTGAGCTTGCGCTCCTCCACGTGTTACTGCTCCTCCCTCACCCTTGGTTAGCCTGGCCGGGATCAGGGCCCTTTGGGGATCACACCATCCAGATCCATGGATGGAGAGGATTCTGAGAAGCGTAGCCCTAAAAGGTAAATCTTCCCCGCCTGTAGCTGAGACGGTGGGAGTCGGTCATCGCTCTCCTCTTTGCAGGAATAAAAACTGTTTTGCAGAGATGCTCGGCCTGTTTGGGAATTTCTCCTGCTTTCCTCCTTGGGCGACTTCAGGGAGCGGGCAAGATGCTAGGAACTTATTTTGCTGCAGGAAAAATCTCAGGTCCTTCCAATTCTTTTTTTTTTTTAAATGTCCTACACATTTCCCCCAAAGTCCAGATGACAATCACCTCTTCCAGTTCTCTCACTGCTTGGTTGATCCTTTTCCTCATCATGGTGGGGGGGAATTCCTGATAATGATTAAATGTTCTACCTCATTTGTGTAATTTTACAGAGGATCCAGACCTTGCCTCCTATTCATAACTCCCTCCCTCCGTGCTTTCGCCCTGGCCGCCTCTGACTCTTTTCTTGCACACAACCTTCCCCTTTCCGGGAGGGAAAAGCACAATAGTTGCACCAGGGCTGGTCGTTGCCAGAAGCCCTTTGTTTAAAGGGACCCCCCCCCCCCCC